TAGCCATTGCTTTAAATGTGTCCCAGAGATTCTGTTACATTGTGTCTTCATTCTCATTGGTTTTGAAGAACATCTTTATTTCTGCCTTCATTTCATTGTTTATCCAGTCAATAGAACCAGTTTTTCAGTTTCCATGAAATTGTACAGTTCTGAGTTAGTTTTTTAATCCTGAGTTCTAATTTGATTGCCCTGTGGTCTGAGAGACTGTTTGTTATGATTTCAGTTCTTTTGCATTTGCTGGGGAGTGATTCACTTCCAATTATGTGGTCAATTTTAGATTGGGTGCTGAAAAGAATGTATTTTCTGTGGATTTGGGGTGGAGATTTCTGTAGATGTCTATTTGGTCTGCCTGGTCTAGCTCTGAATTCAAGTCCTGGATATCATTGTTAATTTTCTGTCTTGTTAATCTGTCTAATATTGACAGTGGAGTGTTAAAGTCTCCTACTGTTATTGTGTGGGATTCTAAGTCTCTCTAAGTAGGTCGTTAAGAACTTGCTTTATGTACTTGGGTGCTCCTGTATTGGGTTCATATATATTTAGGATCATTAGCACTTCTTGTTGCATTGATCCTTTTACTATTATGTAACGCCTTTTTTTGTCTCTTTTGATCTTTGCTGGTTTAAAGTCTATTTTATCAGAGACTAGGTTTGCAATCCCTGCTTTTTTTTTGCTCTCCATTTGCTTGATAAATCTTCCTCCATCCCTTTATTTTTAGCCTATGTGTGTCCTTGCATGTTGAGATGGGTCTCCTGAATATGGCACACCGATGAGTCTTGACTTTTAATCCAATTTGCCAGTCTGTGTCTTTTGACTGGGGTATTTAGCCCATTTATATTTAAGGTTAATATCGTTATGTGTGAATTTGATCCTGCCATTTTGACATTAGCTGTTTTGGCCATTAGTTGACACAGTTTCTTAATTGTTTCGATGGTCTTTACCAGTTAGTACGTTTTTGCAGTGGCTGGTACTGGTCGTTCCTTTCCTTTAGTTTTAGTGCTTCCTTCAGGAGCTCTTGTAAGGCAGGCCTGGTAGTGACGAAATCTCTCAGCAATTGCTTGTTTGTAAAGGACTTTTTTTCTCCTTTGCTTAGGAAGCTTTATTTGGCTGGATATGAAATTCTAGGTTGAAAGTTCTTTAAGGATCTTGAATATTGGTCCCCACTCTCTTCTGGCTTGTAGGGTTTCTTCTGAGAGATCTGTTTTGAATCTGATGTGCTTCCATTTGTGGATAACCCGTTCTTTCTCTCTTGCTGCCCTTAGCATTTTTTCCTTCATTTCAACCCTGGTGAATCTGATGATTATGTGCCTTGGGATTGCTCTTCTTGAGAAATATCTTTGTGGCGTTCTCTGTATTTCCTGGATTTGAATGTTGGCCTGCCTTGCTAGGTTGGGGAAGTTCTCCTGAAGAATATCCTTAAGAGTGTTTTCCAGCTTGGATTCATTCTCCCAGTCACATTCAGGTACACAGATCAAGTGCAGATTAGGTCTTTTCACATAATCCCATATTTCTTGGAGGCTTTGTTCATTTCTTTTCACTCTTTTTTCTCTAGTCTTGCCTTCTCGTCACTCAGTTGATCTTTAATCTCTGATATCCTTTCTTCTGCCTGATCGATTCAGCTGTTGAAACTTGTGTATGCTTCTCGAAGTTCTCGTGCTGTTTTTCAGCTCTATCAAGTCATTTATGTTCTTCTCTAAGCTGGTTTTTCTAGTTAGCACTTCGTCTAACCTATTTTCAAGGTTCTTAGTTTCTTTGCATTGTGTTAGAACATGTTCCTTTAGCTCAGGGAAGTTTGTTATTACCCACCTCTGAAGCCTGTTTCTGTTAATTCATCAGACTCATTCTCCATCCAGCCTTGTTCCCTTGCTGGTGAGGAGTTGTGATCCCTTGGAGGAGAGATGTTCTGGTTTAGGGTAATTTCATCCTTTTTGCGCTGGTTTCTTCCTATCTTCTTGGGTTTTTCTACCTCTGTGTTTTGAAGTTGGTGACTTTCGGAAGGAGTCTCTGAGAGGACGTCTTTCTGTTGAAGTTGAAGCTACTTCTTTCTCTTTTTTTTTGTTTTCCCTCTAACAGTCAGGCCCCTCTCCTGCAGGACTGCTGGAGGTCCACTCCAGACCCTGCTTACCTGGGAATCACTCACGGGGGCTGCTGAACAGCAAGGATTTCTGCCTGTTCTTTCCTCTGGTAGGTTTGTCCCAGAAGGGTACCCACCAGGTGTCAACCAGAATTCTCCTGTATGAGGTTTGTTTTTGGATATATGTGGGTCAGGAAGCCACCTGAGGAGGCAGTCTGTCCCTTATCAGACCTCAAGTCTGTGCTAGAAGCTCTGTTGCTCCCTTTAGAGCTGCTGGGCAGGGACGTTTAATTCTGCTGCAGTGGAATTCACAACCGCCCCTTTTCCCAGGTGCTCTGTCTTGGGAAGGTGGGATTTTATTTATAAGTCCCTGACAGGCTGCTGCCTTTTTTTTTCAGAGATGCCCTGCCCAGCCTGCTGTTTGTTTTCCTAAGGTAAACAGATCTTGAAACTAGAAGCAATATTTTTTTTTTTTTGAGACGGAGTTTCACTCTTGTTACCCAGGCTGGAGTGCAATGGCGCTATCTCGGCTCACCGCAACCTCCGCCTCCTGGGTTCAGGCAATTCTCCTGCCTCAGCCTCCTGAGTAGCTGGGATTACAGGCACGCGCCACCATGCCCAACTAATTTTTTGTATTTTTAGTAGAGACGGGGTTTCACCGTGTTGACCAGGATGGTCTCGATCTGTTGACCTCGTGATCCACCCACCTCGGCCTCCCAAAGTGCTGGGATTACAGGCGTGAGCCACCGCACCCGGCCTAGAAGCAATATTTGATTAATTCCTTCTTGCTCGTATCTGTCCATAAAATTCACACATACATTTTGTGGTTAAAAAGTCTTTAATATTTTATGGGCTATGTGTGTTCCTTTCCATCATATCTCTTCATCTACAGTATTCCACTTCAGAGAACCAAGTCATTGTATCTCCTTTCAAAACTAGCATACCTTGATAAGGGAAAATCAAAAGCTCAATGTTTACTTTTAAAAAGACACTCAAAAGTTGAATCAAAAACTTATTAGTATACCGCATTTTAGACATCTAAAATAAAAACATCTTCCCCAATGAAAAACTAACCATTTCAAGTGTGCTCTATTTCTAATATCTTGCAGGCAACATTAAAAATAGTAGTAGAGAAGACATTTTAATATTTATAAATTATGATTGTTTTTGCTGCATAATACTTGAAATATACACATTTTCTTTCTTTTTTTTTGAGACAAAGTTTTGCTCTTGTCGCCCACGCTGGAGTGCAATGGCACGATCTTGGCTCACTACAATCTCTGCTTCCTGGGTTCAAGCATTTCACCTGCCTTAGCTTTCCACAGAGCTGGGATTACAAGTGCCCACCATCACGCCGAGCTAATTCTTCATATTTTTAGTAAAGACGAGGTTTCACCATGTTGGCCAGGCTGGTCTTGAACTCCTGACCTCAGGTGATCCACCCGCCTTGGCCTCCCAAAGTGCTGGGATTTCAGGCATGAGCCACCGTACCCAGCCTGAAATATACACATTTTCTACTGGGAAAAAGGGACAATTTTTATGTGAAAAATACAATTCTAATTACATGGTGAGAGAAATCTGTGTATTATAGTAGTTCAAAAAAATCCAAGTCCATTTGTCTGTTATATCCTCAGCATGTCTTAAGCATATAATATGAAATATTTGCTAACTTCCTCCTTCACTCTTTTTAGTGTACCTACATATTTTACCTGAAAGAGGATGTAAGAAACCAAAGGCATATAATTTGGTAGCTAAAAGACACAGCATCTTGGCACTCATTGAAACATCAACAATCTTTATGTTTATTCTTCTTATCTTATAGATAGGGAAAGTGAGGCCTAAGAGCATTAATAACTTCTGTGGTCCCAAAGTTTGGTGTCTATCTGGACATATGAGAACTGAATTTCATTATCTATTGATAGCCTAACTTTCTGAGATTTCAGAATTCTTTTTTTATTTTTTTGGAGACAGAGTCTTGCTCTCTCACTGAGGCTGGAGTGCAGTGGTGCAATCTCGGCTTACTGCAACCTCCACCTTCCAGGTTCAAGCAATTCTCCTGCCTCAGCCTCCCAACCAGCTGACATTACAAGCATGTGCCACCATACCTGGCTAATATCTGTATTTTTAGTAGAGATAAAGTTTCACCACGTTGGCAAGGCTGGTCTCAAACTCCTGACCTCAGGTGATCCACCTGCCTTGAAGTGCTGGGATTACAGACTATGAGCTACTGTACCTGGCCGAGACTTCATAATTCTAATAACAACTTACTATTGACTAAATAATGAACCTTCTCTCCAAGGCCCTTTGTAGGCTAATGGAGGCAAGACTGATGTACAGAAACTATATATATATAATTTATATATATACACATATATATGTAAAAACATCACACTGCATACCTTAAACATGTACAATAAAAAATAAAAGGTAAATTTTAAAAAGAAATACACATTGGGTTTATTTAGACAAGATTTATAGTAATTACAAAGCTTTCAAGAAGCAAAAACAAAATTTATCAAGAACTACATTTAAAATAAATCACAGGCCAGGCTTGATGACTCATGCCTGTAATCGTAACACTTTGGGATGCCAGGGCGAGCACATCACTTGAGGCCAGGAGTTCGAGACCAGCCTGGCCAACGGCAAAACCCTGTCTTTACAAAAAACACAAAAATTAGCTGAGCATCGTGTTGCACACCTGTAATCCCAGCTACTCGGGAGGCTGAGGCACAAGAATCGCTTGAAGTCAAGAGATAGAGGTTGCAATGAGCCGAGATCACACCACTGCACTGCAGCTTGGGCAACAGAGCAAGACTCTGTCTCAAAAATAAATAAATAAATAAATCTTATTTAAAAACATGCATTTCCCAATAAAAAACATGTTACATGGATTCTTCTAGAACTGGCAGGATTTTATAGCACTACTTACCAAAAGTTGTTCCACCAGCTTCTTCACATTTTGCCCCATTTCTGGGGACTGTGATCCACCACATGCTAGTTTTATTAACATTGCAAGGAAGTTCTTGCATTTCTTCACATTTTCTATCATTGTCTAAATATGAAAATATAAATATAAGCAAACACAAGTGTTAGTGAGCAATCAATTCAAAAAAACTTGCAAGGAACTAGATTTATATAAGGTACAAGTAAGAGCTTACTGGAGAATGATTAATCTGAACAGCTGCTGAGTTCTCTGCTTTAAGATTGGGCTCATTTGAGGGGGTGGATGATGCTCCCAAACTTGAAGGCTTCAGGGTAGTTACAGTATTCACTGGCTTTCCAGGGGTTACTGTGACAACACTGGTTGGCACAGTCACAGACTGAAATTACAGGTATTAAATATTTAGGCATGTATTACTCTGATCCATTAGTCAGTGCCTCATTTCGCACTCATCAGACAAGTTAATTTTGACATCTTTGCTTTTATGTTATGTTCTACTAGTCTAAAGCAATATAACACAGTTCTAGGAACTCTGGAGTCTAGTAGATCTGGGTTTCATTTTCACCCCATCTACCATTTTATTACCACCTACCAAATGTTGACTGCAGGCAAGTTGCTTATTCCTGCTAATCCTGATTACTCTCTGCAAAAACAGGGATAGGAACGGTACCTGCTGTCCTAGGATTTTTGTGAAAAACAGTACTAGAGCAAATAAGTCCTCAAAAATTAACATTAAGGCCAGGCGCAGTGGCTCACACCTGTAATCCCACCACTTTGGGAGGCAGAGGGGGGTGGGTCACAAGGTCAGGAGTCTGAGACCAGCCTGACCTACATGGTGAAATCCTGTCTCTAATAAAAATACAAAAATTAGCTGGGCATGGTGGCGCATGCCTGTAATCCCAGCTACTCAGGAGGCTGAGGCAAGAGAATTGCCTGAACCTGGAAAGTGGAGGTTGCAGTGAGCCAAGATCCTGCCACTGCACTCCAGCCTGGGAGACAGAGTGAGACTTCGCCTCAAAAAAAAAAAAAAAAAGTATTAATACTCTAAGAAGTATTTGAAAGTCTTTATATGAGAACATAGAATATTCTGTTATTTCTTAAGTATAAAGCAGAGCAATCTACTTATTATCTAACATTCAGATAAACAGCTTTTATGTAGACCATTAAAGTAAGCATGAAGAATATTATAAAATGTGGTATCTTATTCTCACACTGAAAATAATTTTAGTTGTTTCTACTATCAAAATAAGGTGTGACTCTAGCACCACCTGCAGGACAAAAACCTCATACAAGAAATCACAAGTCAGGTACGTAGTAACTTAGAAAATCACATTGAGATAAAGCAACAATCTAATTTGGTGTTAAAGACAAACACTAAAAGTTACAGAACATAAAAGTCTGGGGGACAGGGATAAAGAATAGTATTCACAATTCAAACAGAAAACTGAACAATGCACCATCATTTAATTTAAATGTCTATGTTCTACAAGCATGCAACACAAAAAGGTTAGGTTGCTAACACCTTCAAGAAAATTTCCTTCCATAATAGTCAAAATAGATAAATCTGAATGTACACCAGAATCTCCCACATTAGAGAGACTGGAGCATATATTAGGCAAGAATGTTCTGAGGGTAAAAAAATGGGAAGAAGGCCAAGTGCAGTGGCTCACACTTACAATCCCAGCACTTTGGAAGGCTGAGGCAGTAGGACTGCTTGAGGACAGGAGTTTGCGACCAGTCTGGGCAGCATGACAATACTCTATCTCCACAAAAACAAATTTTTCTTTACGAACCAAACGAACATTTAAAATGCTGAGAACTGATAAAAGGAGAGGGGTGGGGACACATGGTAGCCCTAGGGTGGGTTTGGGGTATATGGGCCTTCATTTTACTATTTTTTTTTGAACAGACATATTACCTATGTGTGCATATGTATTTCATGTAGTCTTTTATTTGTATGTAATTTCATAATATATAATAAAAATATTAAATACTGTAGGCTAACACATTTGAAACAAAACCGAAAGGATTTTTGGAAAAACATGAAATGACAGAATCAGCATAAAACACAGAAATTGGAATAGACAAATTTAAAAAATTGAAATGATAACCAAAAAGACCTCCCTCCCTCAAGTCTCCAGGCTCAGATACTTTCCATGTGATTTTTCCACACTTTTGCATACCTCCTGTCTCATGTAATATGTTCTAGAAAAACACAACAGGGAAAGCTGTTCAGTTCATTTTATGAGACAGGCTGTAACATATTTCAAAATTGAATAAGAATAATAGAAGAAAAGTAAACTAAAGGTTCACCTAGCAAAAACTTTAATAAAATTTTAAAATTACTGATTAATGAGGAATAAAACTAATATTAAAATTTTAAACAAAAAAGATAAAATTAAAAATCACCCCTAAATTAGTACGATTTTGTTAAATATAAATAGAGCCTCAAAGGCAACAATCAAAAAGAAGTCTCCCTCCTTTTTGCATTCTTAGTCTTGATCTCTGGAGACAACTACCACTCAGTTTCTTCTGAATCCTTCTGGAGATTTTTCTAATACATTTTTAGTTTTCTATACAGTAAATACAGTAAATAAGCCTCCTCCTTCAGTAAGTCTATCTTATAATCAGTAACTAACTCTGTGCTGCCATATTTGAGAAAGTACAATCTGAAATTTTAGCTGGTGGTTATGATCACCTCTGAGGACTGATGGGAAAGGCTCCTTGGGGGCCATACTGTCCCCCTCCCTCAGGAAGCAAACTAAGGTCCAACTGAAATGTGAAGTAAGGAAAAATGTACTTTGTAAGTAGAGGGGGTATTTATGGCATTGTACTTTCCTTGTCAATATTTTATCCTGTCTCCAGTAAAAAAAAATCTGTCCTTCATAACACTTTATAGTATAGCTAATACCTGTATCTTACCACAGGGGTCCCCAGCCTCTGTGCCACAGACTGAAATGGGTCTGTGGCCTGTTAGGAACCTGGCCACACAGCAGGAGGCAAGTGAGCATTACTGCCTGAGCTTCGCCTCCTGTCAGATCAGCAACACCATTAGATTCTCATAGCAGCATGAACCCTCTGAACCCCGCATGAACCCCGCATGCAGGAGGATTTAGGCTACACTCTCCTTGTGAGAATCTAATGCCTGATGATCTTGATAGACTCAGCAAAAGATAAGGCGAAAGGTCCCAGAAGAATCTCCCACATGTCTGGGCACTGGGGGTGGGGTGGGGTGGGGTGAGGGTGGGGGTTGGGGTGGAGCCTAGGGAAGATCGCACCCTTTGCAGTGGAGAGGAGTCCGGCCTCCCCTGTTCCTGTGTGGTGACTCCAAAATTCAATCTGTGACATGGGGGTCTGTTAACAGGAACCCCTCTCGCTTTGCTGAGTTTTTTTTTCCTTTTCGCCAATAAATTCCATTTCCCCTCACCCTTCAAAGTGTCTTTTTTTTTTTTTTTTTTTTGACACGGAGTCTCGCTTTGTCACCCAGGCTGGAATACAGTGGCATGATCTGGGCTTACTGCAACCTCCGCCTCCCAGGTTCAAGCGATTCTCCTGCCTCAGCCTCAGGCCCCACCACCATCCCTGGCTCATTTTTGTATCTTTAGTAGAGACAGGGTTTCACCATTTTGGCCAAGTTGGTCTCAAGCTCACACCTCTAATCCCAGCACTTTGGGAGGCCAAGGCGGGTGAATCATGAGATCAGGGGTTCGAGACCAGTCTAGACAACATAGTGAAACCCCATCTTAAAAAAAAAAAACAAAAAAAAACTACTAATATAGGCTGGGTACAGTGGCTGATACCTATAATCCCAATATTTTGTGAGGCCAAGGTGGGAGGATTTGCTTGAGCCCCAGGAGTTCAAGAACAGCCTGGGCAACAGAGTGAGATCTCATCTCTATTTTTTAAATATTTTAACTACAAATATAATTAGTGTTCACTGACTATAATTACTAAGTAAATGAACACAAGCTTTCATGTTCTAGAACTGTTAACACTTCAACGAATATTCAGAGAGCACAGAAATAGAATTGTGGCTGTACCTGGCAGGGGACAGATTAAAGTCCACAGATACGAAAAATCCCTAATACACTCTAAGAAGTAATATACAAGAAACTCACTTTACCACTAAACTGGCTCCCAAAAGGGCCCTGAAGAAGTAGTGGAGTTCCTCCAGTTATCCCAGCACAACATAATTTGCTCTCTGTATCCTGAAAAGCCATAATGTACAAAGGGCAATCTTAAGTATCTAATACCATGTTGCTAAGTATGTTTTTTCTCTGCAATATATTTTTTTAACCTGTGATGTTACTTATGTACTCAATCTTTCAGAACTACATCCAATGAAAAACTGATATACTCAAAGTACTGGTAGTCTAAAGTGGTTAACTTCTTCATAAAACAATATGATAGTAGCTATCAATAGGCCTAAATTTATACTCTTTGGCCCAATAGTCTCCTCAGAATTTATGTTTAGAAAAAAATACACTAGGTTTTGAGATAATCAGTACATAGGTCATTAAAGTCAGATAAAGGCTCAAATCCTCACACTGCCACATACTAGCATAAATCAGGCAAGCTTCTAAACCTCTCACATAAAATGGAGATAACATTTCCTTATAGTATAGTCACAAGGATAAAGCAGATGATGAATGTAAGGTACCTTAAAAAGTATCAAGCATGTTAAGTGCCAATAAATGATATTAGTAGAAAAATACTATGTTTAAAACCAGATTCACTGCTCATCATTTCTGTTAGAGAGAAAGAATGTGAGCAGTATGGATAAATAAAGTTTGGAACACCAAAAGCGGGTCTGATCCACTAGCATGGGATTACACATGCTCCAAGAAGATGCATAGTCCCAGGACTATGGGACTCACTGGTTGTATCACATATGTCTTGACTCAGAAACTAGGAGTCTAGTAAAATATTAGAATAGCCTGCAGGAGGTACAGGTGAAGTACACACACAGAGGCAATACTCTATGAGAATGGGATTCCACCCTCCCACACTCAGCATACTCATTTAATCAAAAATTTCCATACGGTACTATGTCCCCAATAGGACAAACCCATAGATTCAGGAATCAAGGAGAAGAAGTATGAATGGCTCCACTTACCATCACTCACAACAAAGACTCACTGGAGGACTTTGTGTCTCCCATTTCTGCCCACAAGAAGCAAACACCTCCACCAAAGGACAAAGCAAGAGTCCCTATAAATAGACACTAAGAATAGACACTAAGAGCCACGCATGGTGGTTCACGTCTGTAATCCCAACATTTTGGAAGGCTGATGTAGACGGATTACGTAGTCAGGAGTTCAATACCATCCTGGCCAACATGGTGAAACCCCAACCTTACTAAAAATACAAAAAATCAGCTGGGCGTGGTGGTACATGCCTGTTATTCCAGCTACTCAGGAGGCTGAGGCAGGAGAATCGCTGGAACCCAGGAGGTAGAGGTTGCAGTGAGCCAAGATTGCACCACTGCACTCCAGCCTGTGCGAGAGGGACGACTCCATCAAAAATAGATAATTAAATAAAATAGACACTATAACTATACTCTGGTTCCTTGTAACCACAATTCAGCAGGAAAGAGAGGAGTAATATCTTAGGAAGAGTAATTGACTCCCATCATCTGGAGGAGGTAGGGCTGCTATTACACAATGGAGGCAAAAAGAAGTATGTGTGGTGAATTCACGTGATTCAGGTGATTCACTTAAATGACTCCTTGTATTTCCTTGCCCAATTGTGACGATAAATAGACAACTGTAGCAACCCTGACCTCAAAAGAACATGGTTATTAAGACCACAGGCCACTCAGAGATGAGGGTCTGGTCATGTTATCAGTTAAGTTATGAAGATCAGTATAGGTGGTAGTTGAGGGTGAAGGGAATCTAGTAAGAGACAGTGGAAGAGGGAAATTATTACAAGCAGGTGCTCCCAGAGATCAGCTGCAGCACTGGGGACTGCAGTTCGTTGTATTAACCTCCTCTTTGTTTCCCCAAAGAAGAAACACATGAGAATCCCAGAATATGAGATCTCCAACATATATGAGGCAACAGATCCAAATGATGCAAGGAGTAGCCTGTGATGAAGCATGACAAGGAGTGATATGTACTGTCCTAGCTAGCTGCTGGGAATAATATTAGACAGCCTCCATTTATCAGTTCCGTCAGGCTTCCCTCAGCTGCAGAGGATCACCTTGCCCAAAGGTAACTTTCCGAGGGGAGCCCACATCCAAAAACTGAACAGAGACTAGTAATTAAAGCACAGCCAACCATGTTAGCCTATAGTGGGACAATGCTGACAGGTCACATGTGCTCCAAAGTTCTCCACTAGGCTGGCTAAGGCTTTATTGGGCCTGCATCTAGTTCAAACTCTTACCTACTCTCCTTTCCTTCCATGGGTATTTATCCATACACATCCCAAATTTTATCTCAGCACCTCCTTCTAGATACTGCAACACATGGCTATTAGACAGATTTGTATTAATTTAATACACTTAAGTAAAACTGGTATTCCAAGAATTTACACCATGTCTATCTTGTTTCTCATACCTCCAACAGTTCCCAGTTTGATAAGTGCCACTGAATTGCTATTTTCAATGTCACACAGTAACTTATATATCTGGCAGGAGATAGCTAAATGATTTTTAAAAAGATAAGATAATAACCAGTGCACAAACGGCCAGTACAACTTACTTGTACTGAGGAAGGCTTCGGAACAGTGGTTACCACAGTAGTTCCTATTTGTGCCAATTTTTTAACAGGTGCCACTGCCACTTTCTTGATTAATTGTGAGCTAGAGTTCTTGCCGGTAGAGAGGAGCAAGATAACACAAAGTCATTGGTGTTAGTAATTTAAAATCAGTACTATGGTGAACATTAGAACACTTTATGATACCAAATGTATTTGTCATGACTGGTTTTATAACCTTATGTGTTTAATGCACTGTGCACATTCTATACTATAAACCTAACTGGTTGACTGGCCAGAGGACACTCACTGCATATTTCCAAGGAGGCAACTGATTCGATAAATAACTCATTTATCTGAAATTTGAAACTAAATAAATATTACAGTATTCAACATTAAAATCTTAATCTTGACTCTCTGGTTCATACAGAAAAAAATATAGATTCTTATGTAATATTTAATTATAAACAAAAACCTGCTAACCTATATTTTCCACAGCAGTTAAACCAAACTAGAAAGGGGAGGAGCAGCTATTATTGATAGATATGGTAACAGAGAAAATAACTGTTTCAGAACCAAGAATCAAATTAGCAGAGCACAAAAATGAAAAAAACTGGCAGAGAATGATTACAACAAAAAGCAATGCAATCTGTCATTACAATGAGCCTGAGTCATCAAGAAAACGCTAAACTACATTCAGCATTTTCTATTTAAATAAAATATCCAGAAAAATATTTTTAACTCAATCAAACAAGTACCAGTTATCTAAAAAAAATCACCATGAATGTAAAATATGTCATTCTAACAATGCCAAGTTAATGAAATATGGCAGGTTTCTGTATGTCTTAAAGATAATTTCTGTGACATATAAATAAAAATGTATAAACTGGAATTTTACTATTTTACCAAAAATTAAAATTAAAGCAGAACTGGCCAAGTGTGGTGGTTCACACCTGTAATCCCAGCACTTTGGGAGGCCAAGGCAGGAGGATTATCAAGAGCCCAGGAATTCAAAGCCAGCCTGAGCAACAAAGCGAAACACTATCTCTGCAAAAAAATTTAAAAAGTAGCCAGGCACGGTGGCATGCAGCTGTGGCCCCAACTACATGGGAGCCTGAGGCAGGAGGATTACCCTAGCTCAGGAGCTTGAGGGTGCAGTGAACCAAGTGAGCCATGTTCACGAAACTGCACTCCTGGAGACAGAATGAGATCCTGTCTCAAAAAGAAAAAACAACAACAACAAAAAACAAACAAACAAACAAAATGCAAATAGACCTCTGAACATTCCTTTGAGGACATAAAATCTGAAATGTAAAGACTGAATTTACTATTCTGGTAATTATCAAAGGACAAAACCAAAAATCTTTATTAAATTGACATATTCAAGGGAAGCTGACTTAAAAAGCTGAGCAGAATCATCTTATATTATTTTTTACTAACAAACATGTACAAAACATTTATATGAAAATTATAGCTGAGAAACAAAGAATGATGAAAAATCTTTAAGGTATATTACCGGCACTGTACAGATTTTGACTGTTTGAGGATTTGCTGGTACTGCTGGCCTTGAAGTTATGTTACTTGTGGTCTCGGCTCTTGTTACAGCTTGTTGAGGGGATACCAACATCAACTGACCACTGTTACTTTTGATCAAAACGGTTCCTATATTTAAAAAAGAAAAAAAAAGTAATCTCTGAGGCAATAAACAAAGCATAACCATCACATATTTTCTTCTCCCATTTCTTTCAACACTGTTAAAATGATGTTGTCAGTACATACTGAATTTCATGTCTGCTACTTATCATATATAAAGATGGACAAATATTTTTCTCAAAGCTACTTAAAAATTTAAAATCTTTGAATGCAATGATATGCTCCTGAAGAAAGCAAAACACTTTTCCTTTATGACATCAAAACTATCTATAAAGCTACAGTAATTAAAATGGTGTGGTTAACAGCATAAGGCTGCATAAGCTGACCAATGGAAAAGAAAGAGAACCCCTAAATCAACTCATGCAGATATGTCATATCAAATTTTCCTAAAAGGCTCTGTAGATTCATGAGGAAAGGAGAGACTATTCAGTAAATGGGGCTGGTCAATTAGCTATCTACATGGAAAAGATAAAATTTGAGAAAAAATATATGTGTGTATATACATACATATATACACATACATATGTGTATATATGTATGAGATGATTCTGCTCAGCTTTTTAAGTCAGCTTCCCTTGAATATGTCAATTTAATAAAGATTTTTGGTTACATATATACACATACATATGTGTGTATATATACATACATATATATTCACATATATATTTTTTCTCAATTTTTTTCTCAAATGTGTGTATATATACACACGTGTGTATATATATACATATATATATACATATGTGTGTGTATATACATATACACACACATATGTATATGTGAGCCCTTTTAAAATGATCTCACCCAGAGAGGCATTAAAATGAGACAGCAATGAGTTCCTACTCCCCTTTGCTATGTAATCAATCCTCTCTTGAAACTGCTTGCTATTGCCACAAGTAGCTCTAAAGTAACCTAACAATGCCACATGCCAGATACCATAAACCACACTCTACAGTTCAACAATGTATAGCCAATCAATGTTATTTTTGAAAACCAATGAGGATTCCTGACAAATAACCTTTTTTTTTGAGACAGAGTCTTGCCCTGTCGCCCAGGCTGGAGTGCAGTGGCACGGACTCAGCTCCCTGCAACATTCACCTCCCGGGTTCAAGCAATTCTCCTGCCTCAGCCTCCCAAGTAGCTAGGACTACAGATGCCTGGCACCACACTCAGCTAATTTTTGGATTTTTAGTAGAGATGGGGTTTCACTATGTTGGCCAGGCCTGTCTCAAACTGCTGACCTTGTGATCTGCCCACCTCAGCTTCCCAAAGTGCTGGGATTACAGGCATGAGCCATGGCACCTGGCCCCTGACAAATAAGGTGTTTTTTTTTTTTTTTTTTTTTTTGAGACAGAGTCTCGCTCTGTTGCCCAGGTAATCTTGGCTCACTGCAACCTCCACCTCCAGGGTTCAGGCGATTCTCCTTCCTCAGCCACCCCCGTAGCTGGGATGACAGACGTGCAGCACCATTCAGGGCTAACGTTTTTGTATTTTTAGTAGAGATGGGGTTTTGCCATGTTGGTCAGGCAGGTCTCAAACTCCTGACCTCAAGTGATCCTCCTGCCTCGGCCTCCCAATGTGCTGGGATTACAGACATGAGCCACTGTGCCCAGCCGACAAATAACTTTTTAATTAACCCACTCTTTATCCCCTTTTTTGCTTTTAAAAACTTGTTTGTAATAAAGGCATTCCCCAAGGCAACTTGCGTGCCCCAGGCAGCTATACTCAACCTTGGCCCAAATAAACTCTCTAAATTAATTTTGCCTCAGCTTCTTCCTTTTAGACTGACTTTCAGATGCCTGTTTCACACACATTCATAAAAGCCAGGTACATTAAGAATATAAAAGTAAAGGGTAAAAAGTTTTAAACTCTTAAGACAATGTAAAAAATTATCTTTCTGCACGCCCGTAGCCTATAGTCTCAGCTACTTAGGACAAGCACTGAGGCAGGAGGACAGCTTGAGCCCAGGAGCTCAAGGTTGCTGTGAGCTATGATCACACCTATACTCCAGCCTGGGACACACAGCAAGACCCTGTCTCAAAAAGAGAGAGAGAAAGACAATTATCTTTCTGAACTAGGGATAGGAAAGAATTTCTTAAAGTTTGATAAACTCAACTACATTAAAAGTAAAGCTGTTATTTAGCAAAAGACACCATCAGGTAAAAGGACAAGCCACAAAAATCAAACAAAATTTTGGTTCACATATATTCAAAGGATGAGTATCCAAAATGCACAAAAGAAAAAACACAGAGGCCAAGAACAGGGAAAGGTAAATTAAGACCACAATGATACCACTTCATATCTACATAAACAAGCAAAGATTAAGATGGCCAGTGACAATACCAAGGGTTGGAGAAAAGTGTATCAACAGGAATTCTAACATCTTGTGGTGGTAGTATTATTTGGTACAACTAACTAGTTTCTTCAACTTTATATGACTGTGTGAATTTATTTCCATTTGTAGACCCTGTAACTCGGGATTTCTAACCTAAAGTAATTCTTGGCCAGGCATGGTGGCTCACACCTGTCTGTAATCCCAACACTTTGGCAGGCCACGGCAGGAGGATCTCTTTACACCTGGGTTTGAGACTACCCTGGGCAACAAAGTGAGACCCTGTCTCTACAAAAAAAGTATTTAAATTAGGCAAATGCAGTAGGCATGTGCCTGTAGTTCCAGCTACTCAGGAGACTGAGGTGGGAGGCTCACTTGAGCCCAGAAATTCAAGCCTTCAGCAAGCTATGATGGTGCCACTGCACTTCAGCCTGGGTGGATGGAGCACAACACTGTCTCTAAAAATAAATAAAATCTTGAAGAAAAAAAAGTCTTGCTTGTGTCAACAGGAAGCACAAACAAGAATATTCATAGCTGGGGTTCCATTTTCAGAATGGTGGCATGAGGCTCTCTACAACCTTGTTCCCCATTGAAACAAGCATAACTGGTAAAATTATTTTTATAAAACAACATTCAAGGTTTTTGGAAACTGGCCAGGCACAGAGGCTCACATCTATAATCCCAGCACTTTGGGAGGCCAAGGCAGGTGGATCACTTGAGGCCAGGAGTTTGAGACCAGCCTGGGCAACATGGTAAAACCCCATCTCTACTAAAAAATACAAATATTAGCCGAGTGTGGTGGTGGGCACCTGTAATCCCAGCTACTACTCAGGAGGCTGAAGCACAAGAATCACTTGAACCTGGGAGGCAGAGGTTGCAGTGAGCCAAGACCACACCACTGCACTCCAGCCTGGGTGACACAGTGAGATTCTGTCAAAAAAAAAAAAAAAAAAAAAGTGTTTGGAAACTGTCCTAAGGCATACAGAAAATGACTACAGCTACTGGATATCTGCTAAAACTCAGAAAGAATAGCAAGAATATGTGGCATTTGAACTGTAACCAACTCCCCTCTTTTCCCGTCTCAGCTCAACATGACAGAAATTCCATTCCAGGGAGTGTCACCAAGAATAAAGGGCTTCTTCTCTCCTAACTTCCCAATGTAAGGCTATGGTATCTTCCCGGGAGGAGCAGGTCACTTGCATTTCTCCTCTACCCCCAATCCTCACCCCCATCCTAGCTACATATTGAAGAAGATAAACTTGAGACAGGTGCATCTTAGAGGTTCAAGTCTCCCTTCTCACACCCATTCCCATTCATAAAAGGAAATATCTACTTCAAGGACAGCACAATTGGGCCTCCAGTGTCTCATCCCAGCTCTTTCATAGGGTGGAGGTTCCATGTTGGGAGAGGTGAGCAGAAAGACCAGAGTACTGCCCACAGCCAGTACCCTGTTCCTACAGCAGGAATGTTACTCAGAGAGAAGAATGCCACATTCCCAACCTCTGCTCCCAATCTCTCCCTAAATGAAGTGTCTTTATGCTAAACAGACTGGAGAAGTTCAAAGCTAAAGGCACCCTCAAATACAATGTAGCAATTAAGAGGAGGCTTGCAGCTTCATGAGAGATACAAGCTAAACCATAAGTCTACTGGTTTACCAGAGAAAACCAAAGAGACAACTAAGAAGGGTTCTCCTTGGGTCAGAACAAACCTCAAACACTAGCCTAAAAAATTATCTTTGTAAAGGAGCCCAAATTTAATTGGATCAGACTGTGGAAAAAGTTAGGCTCTAGAGCATTGTTGAAAACAACAGGGCAATCAGCTGGCAATGAGTGGATCCTAACAGCCAGGTGTGATACCAGCATAAGCAGACAGCTTAACAGAGAGATGAGACAAAGAGACAGAGTCCAGCTGAAGATGACAGTGCTCATGTTCAATGATATGCCCTCTAAAAAGCAACATCAGCAGCTGCTTATTGTGGCAAAAGGAGACCACACTAAAACAATCCAGCCGGACATTTGTTCAAAAATCAAAAAACAGTAACACACCCAAGGGAGTAGGGACCAGTATTAAGAGCTGCTACACTATTGTTAACAACAAACTATGACATGTAAAGAAACAGAAAAGTGTGACATAAACACAGGGGGAAAAGCAGGCAACAGAAACCACCTGTGAGACAGACTAGATGTCAGATTTAATAAATACCTCAGAGAAACAATCTTAAGTATGTTCAAAGGAATAAAACTAATCATACTTAAAGAAGTAAAGGAAGGTATGATACATCTAGAATGCCACTAGAGATAGATATTATTTTTAAAAAACAGAACTTCTGTCATTACAGTAACAAAGATATTCACAAAAGAGACTCAAAAGTAAACCTAAACTGGAAAAAGAAAGATCAGCAAACTTGGAGGTAAATCTATAGAAATTATGCAATCCAAAGAACAAAAAGAATGATGAAAAATAAACAGATTCTCAGAAAACATGGGACACCAATAAAGACACCAACATAGGCATAATGTGAGTACCAGAAAGAGAGCAGACAGAAAAAGGAACAGGAAAAAATAAAATCCAAGAAATAATAGCTGAAAGCTTCCCAAATTTGGTGGAAAATAATCTAGACATCAATGTAGCTCAAGAAACCACAAGTAAGGTAAGTGCAAAGAGAGCCACGCCAAGACAT